AAAAAAATGGAGCAAAACAAATTGATCGCCTATTTTTTTTTTTTTTTTTTTTTTTTTTTTTTTTTTTTTTTTTTTTTTTTTTGACGGCCGTCAACTTCTCTGGTTATTAGCCGTATTCAATAATATATAAATATAATATATAAATCTAAAGTATAAATATATAATCTCTTACATGTCTAAGTGGTAAGTGTCGCATTTTTAAAAAAACTAACTACGCAAATTCCAGATATTAATCGAAAGGATATACTATTGTCCATTTACTTCAGATTCTATTAGCGACAAAAGATAATTTCTGGAAATGTATACACGACTAAATTTGTCAGGCATATATTCATTAATATTAATTTTTTTTTTTTTTTTTTTGTGGTCAGTATCTGCATTTCACGATCTTGTTTGCGTTCACGTAAAGTATTTCGATTTATCCAAATTCTATTGTTGCATGTTTCTTTTTAGTTCAAGATGACACAATACTAAGCTAAGGTAGGTATGATGCAAAATCATCGTTACATAACATTCATTTAATCTCAGTTTGAGAATAAGATACACAAAAATTAAAATGGTTCATTTCCAAAAAGTTCATTAGGTCAGATCTTCCAATAGAAACCAGATACTTTTAAGAATGATATAACGTTTTTCAGTTTTCTGGTTGTGTGAGACTCTCTGTCAGGTTATCAAATGGTCCATAGATCACTCGATATTGCGACAATATCGGACATGTGCAGATAATGTGGCGTACAGTGAGTGAAGAGTTACATCCAGTGCACAAGGGCGGATCTGTTCCGAGCAAAAGATGTGCATGTGTAAGACGTGTGTGGCCAAAGCGTAAGCGATGTATGCGCACCCATTCCTCTCGTGGCAGTCTGATAGGATGTGGCCATAATCCTACACTAGGTTTTATCTGTCTTAATTGGGTATCAGTGTTACCCCATGTAATTTGCCAGTGTCGCTGTATACGGTTTATGAGGTACTTTTTATGATCAGACATTTTTATTTCAGGGATGTCCGATGTTTTGTTGCGCTGCTGCTGCTTTCGCTGCCATATCAGCAGCTTCATTCCCCTGTATACCAACGTGTCCTGGCAACCACAGAATTTTACGTTTACCCCCTTTATTTAAGAGATGTTTGACAGTTTCAAGACACATCACAGTTAAGGAATCTCGAGATGCATAGTTCATTAGGCCTTGAAGTGCTGAGAGCGAGTCACTAGCTATAATAGCTGTTGTTATGTTATTCGACATGTCACAGTATCGTAGGGCCTGCCAAATAGCATATGTTCAGCAGTAAATATGGATGCTATTGGTGATAGTGTCCATTGATGTGCAGTTTGATCGACTACTATAGCACAGCCGACACCACTGTCAGTTCGCGATCCATCTGTATAGATAACTGTTGCTGCCGGATATCTAGAAACGATTTCCATAAAACGTGATTTATGAGTTCAGATGGATGGTCATTCTTAGATAGTGCAGTCAGCTCGAGATTCACATTTATTTTGGGTGACAGCCATGGAGGAGATTCTCTGTGTTTAACATTATAGATAGGGTTACATGATATACCAATTTCCTCGGCATATTCTTTAACTCGACTCTGAGAGGTCTTGTTATTGTGGGGCGACAGATGTAGCTCTCATCCGTACTGAAAATGATAAAAAAGTTTCTATGGAATGGTCGTGTTTGAATCTGTGCAGAATACGATAGTGCAAGTTTTTACGTCTAATGGATAGAGGTTCAACTCCGGATTCGCAATAGAGGCTAGCTGCTGGAGTTGTACGAAATGCTCCAAGGCAGAGACGTAATCCTTGGTTGTGAACTGTATCAAGTTTTTTAAGCAGTGACGGTCTTGCAGATGAGTAAACAATGCTACCGTAGTCAAGCTTAGATAGAAATGATGCTCTTGTATATCCGCAACAGCATCTCAGCTTCTGCTCCGAATCGTGTTGACGACAGGCATTTTATTAGGTTTAGGGCTCTCTTGCACCTGTTGGTAAGATCCTCAATGTGTTCTCTCCATGTCAGTTTACTGTCGAGTGTTAGGCCTAAGAATTTTACAGAAGACACACAGGGTATGCGTTCATTGTTGAGACAGAGGCGTGGATCATAGTGTGGTCGTCTAAGCCTACAGAAATGGATACATCGTGTTTTTATCCGTGATAGGGTCAATCCTTTGTTCTTAGCATCTGAAGATGGTATCAATAGCAGGTTGTAGAAGTCGAGTAGTTTCACCAACAGTTTTTTCCTGAAGTTAAAATGCATAAGTCATCAACATATAAGCATTGGTTTATAGCAGGATTGACATTCTCAGTGATGGAGTTTATTGCTATCGCAAAAAGAATGCAGCTGAGGGTTGATCCCTGTGGGATACCATTTTCCATGATGCGTGTTGTGGAAAAGGTATTTCCTATTCGTACTTGGAGGAGACGATCTGTCAAAATGATGATATAAGTATTGGTAGATTTCCTCTAATTCCCAGCGATGTAACTGTTTGAGGATATCATATCTCCACGTCATATCATAGGCTTTTTTCTACATCAAACATTACAGCGACAGTATGCTGTCTGTTTTTTGAAGCCATTTTGTATCAAGTCTTCAACGTAGACTAGTTGGTCCAATGTGGATCTAAACCTCCTAAATCCTGCTTGGTGTCCTACAAGCAGTTCATCATTTTCCAAAATCCACATTAAACGTTCACAAATCATTCTTTCCAGTATCTTACCCAGACAGCAGGTTAAGCTATAGGTCTATAACTGGAAGCCACCAGGGGATCTTTACCATCTTCAAATTGGTACAATTGTGGCAAGTTTCCAACATGTAGGATATACACCATTTACCCATATCTCATTGTAGATGTTCAGCAGGATTACTTTCAATTTCTGTGGTAGATGTACGATCATTTCATAATTAATCTTATCTGGACCTGGAGCTGATCTGGAGACATATTGAAGTACTGCCTCTAATTCATGCATTCAAAGGAAACATTATAATTGAGACAATTATTGTGGAAAAATCTATATGGATCTCTCGTTGCATTTTCTGGGCTCTAAAGGTCTGATTATAGTTGGAGGAAGCTGCTGATGTTAGCAAAATGGTCTGCAAGGTGATTGGCGATGCTATTTTCATCATTTATGGTTGTTCCGTCTATTTTGCGGAGGTGGGTTTATTTTGTCTTAGTGATCCATTACCCTTGAATCGAGCGAACTTTATTCCATACCTCACTAGATGGGGACTCAGATGTTATGCTGGATACATAATCTTTCCACGACTGCCTTTGATTTCCAACATTAGGCGTCGAGACCTAGCTCTGGCCCGCTTAAAGGAAATCAAATTTGCCGTGGAAGGATGCCTTCTGAATGTATTTAGCATATTTTTCTTTTATTTTGATAGATTCAGCAATTTCACTATTCCACCAGGGTAGTGTACGTCTACCT